TATCAGTTATACGTTTTGAAGCTTTCATGGCACACATCAACGAAAGAAAGCCGGACAAAGACTTATCATAATGGTACCATAATACTTTGACTATATGTTTTTAGTATTACTTCTACGTGAAGTCAACGATTTACATAGTTGAAGATGCTAATTTCAAATAACAGACTGTAGTGGTAATTTTTATACGATAGATGGAGTAGATGAAAGCATAGAGTTGATAGTTCCGTTAGAGTACGGCAGTGTGAAGATTGTATATAGATATTAGACAAGCGAGCTAGGACAACTTTTAAGGAAGGTGCAAATCGGTTTTTTCATCTCTCTTTACCAAACTCCCCCTTTGGAGAGGGATGGTGAGGGGTGTATCTGTCATAATTCTGCAACATCTAAAAACAATAATATGGTATGACGTACTTTGAAGTATTTTAAACCGGTTCGTATTACGAAACGCATTTTAATTGGCAAACTTTGACTTCGGTTACTGTAAATAAACATTATTCAGCAGGTGCTAGAAAATTGGTTGTACATGTTTGGACCCTAAGTTTGAATGGGATAGGAACTGGATTTCGAAATATGAAAATGGAATTCAATTAAGGATATTGAATATCACCTTATTTCAAAGCATAAAAAATTGGCATCTTCATCTAACTATAAATTAAATTGAATGCTTGTTTATTTTAGAATCAAATTTTTAAATCAATAATTTTGTAATTATTATTAAATTGAGTATAAAAATAATCTCGTAGTCCTACGTGAATAACGTGAATCATGATTATTTTGCTTAACGACGTGTTCAGGGTATCATCCAAACCATTGGTGGAATAGTTCAATCGTTTAGGTTATCGTTTGCTTATGGAATTCTTATTAGGGATGTTCTATTAGAGACGCCGTGAGAATATCAATTATTTGTTAGGATGCTATTTGCCATAAATCACAATCATGTAAACCAATCTTCTATTACACTAGTTTACAGCATTTTTGAACTCGGTAAGGTGATGATCATTTCCAATGCAAAATCCTACGCTGAATTCAATGCCGTGTTCAGAAAAAAATGAAAGTAGAGCCATTTTTGAGATATACAAAAATTTTGATTTTTTGAATTTTGGACAAAAGTACGATTACTAAAATGTCAATATCTTTGGAACTAGTGCACCAATTTTGAATCTTTTTTTTATGAAAATGAAGCTAAATAAATTTGCTATCGTTCACTAGAATATTATGTCTTAATTAAAATTTAATTTTGAAGTGATTTAAAAATTTACAGCATTTTTTTTATTTTTCCTGCGAATTTTCCATAAAAATCTTGTTTTAATCAACATTTTTAATGGGATAAGAAGATTCAAAAAATCATTCCATAATTTATTCTTAAAGTCCATTGAAAACCGGAGAAAATGAGCCTTTAATGGATGAAATCGGTTGGAAATTGTCGAAGTTATGAGCATTTTTGTAAAACACTTAAAAATGTTGCTGAAATACAACAGCTTTAGAGTTCCTTTTCTAGGTGTCGTTGTAAGCATCCAAATCGCATGTAAAGTTTTCATGGGAGATTATTTTCTCTACATATCAATTTGATTAAGGCATATCAGGATTTAAAACCGAGTTGATACAAAAGAAATTTATTTAGGTTTTATTAAAAATGATTGAGAATCGAATGACTTTGTCTTCGATGTTTTGAACTTGTTTCTCGAATCAGAAACCAACAATAGTCACCCATCATTGCTTCATCCCAAAACCCTTGGTAACGACGTTCCATCATCTTCATTTGTTGGTGAAAACGTTCGCCGTGCTCATAACTCTCGTCACCAAGATTTTCCGGGAAAAATCCATGTGAGAATGTAGGAAATGTATCTTCAAAGACATATTCACACCTGTGTTCAGTGAAATAAAAGGATTTGAAATTAATTATATGTAACAAACACAATATTTTTGATTTATACCTATTTTCTCATAATTTTTGAGCAATTCATCGACGGCTTCCTCATAATTTGGGCTTCTGAAATTTCCTTAAAAGGTTGTGACAACACGCTGGAACGATTTCCACGCTTCTTCCTCATCTGGTGTCAAAACTGTATTGAATGCGGAATCATTGAGCAGTTTTTTGATCTGTGGGCCAACAAATACACCTTCCTTTATCTTTGCGTCAGATAAATTTGGAAATACTGATTTCAAGTACTGGAATGCCGGCCCTTCTTTTTGCAACGCTTTGACAAAAATTTTGAATAGCCCAAGTTTTATATGTAGTGGTGGAAGTATTATGCGTTCTTTTACCACAAGAGGATCATTTTTAACGTTGTCTTTACCAATTGTGAAATTATCCCGTTTTGGCCAATCTTTTCGGACGTAGTGTTCCTTACGAGCTCGACTGTCCCAATTACACAAAAAACACATATATTTTGTGTATCCCTGTTGCAATCCAGTCAACATGGCAACCACTTTAAGATCGGAACAAATTTTCCAATTGTGTTGATTGTAATTTATCAAATTGAGCAATAGAGCCATTGATTCATACGTTTCCTTCATATTAACGGCATGAGCTAATGGAATAGAAGGTTTCTCATTCCCTTGATGCAGTAAAACGGCTTTCAAGCTCAACTTGCTGCTATCGATGAATAAACGCCATTCAGCTGGATCATATGGCTCACCAAACTCTTCAAACAAGCCGTTTACGTCATGGCAAAAACATACCTTGTCCTTTGTAGAATAATATTTGTCAAATTTCTTGTGACGATTCCTGTGACAAGAAATTTTGACCTCCTTGCTCAGCATATTGTGTTCTTTCAAGCGTGATGCCAGCAATTCGGATTTCTCCTTCGATAAGTCGAGATCTCGCACCAAATCATTAAATTCGGATTGTGTAAACAGTTTTGGGTTTCTTTCCAATTCCTCCTCGAAGTCTTCCTCGCATTCCTCCTTGAATTCCTCCTCACTTTTTGTAACGGTCGATTCAACAGAGGGCGCTCGTTTCCGCTTTGGATAAACAGGATATGGGACCGAACTTGAATGTGGAACAGGTTTTGTCATAGAAGCCACTTGTGGATACTCAACTGTTTTGTGACGTCCTTGTTGCTTAACTTTTGTCAAGCAGAAATAACAATCCGTTGCATGACAAAACGGTCGACGCCATATGGTGGGCATGTCAAAGGACAAATAGCGACTGACAGATAACAAATAAGTGAGTTAGTAAGTAAGACATTAACACTTATCAAAAATAGATGAAGTAAGATAATTTCGATCAGGAAAGAACAAAGCACTACCATGCTGTACATAAATTGTTTATATGAAAGTTATTCAAAAAATCAATTTACCTTGCGCCTGACATCCACCTAGCCAAGCACGTTTTGCACGAACTACATAATACTTTTGGAATCCACGGTTCGTCAAAGTCTCCAGGATCAATTTTAAAATAAAGCCTGTATGCAGTTTGCAACGAAGCAGTGAAATTGACCGATTTTGTAAATATATAGTTGCCACACGCGTAACAAAACTTTTGAGGATCATTTGTACACTTGAATTCACGTTTTGTCGTATGATGTATTAAGCAATGTTAAAGAAAGAAAGCTGTCAAATTGAGTTGGTTGCCGAGCGGTCTCACAAACACTAGCGTAAATTATATTGTTAAAAATATCCCATTTAATTTTGCGTGGCAGCTGGTAGTGTTAGTGAAATGCACCGTATGCGTACACGTCCGCAGAAAGGCTTACTGGAAGTGGTGCATAAACCTAGGAGCGGGACAACGGCCAATCTTGGAACATTCAATTTCCATGATTTTACAAAAAATTTCATAACTTCGACAATTTCCAACCGATTTCATCCATTAAAGGCTCATTTTCTCCAGTTTTTAATGGACTTTAAGAATAAATTATGGAATGATTTTTTGAATCTTTTTATCCCATTAAAAATGTTGATTAAAACAAGATTTTTATGGAAAATTTGCAGGAAAAATAAAAAAAAATGCTGTAAATTTTTAAATGACTTCAAATTTTTTAATTAAGACATAATATTCTAGTGAACGATAGAAAATTTATTTAGCTTCACTTTCAAAAAAAAGATTTGAAATTGGTGCACTAGTTCCAAAGATATTGACATTTTAGTAATCGTACTTTTGTCCAAAATTCAAAAAAATCAAAATTTTTGTATATCTCAAAAATGGCTCTACTTTAATTTTTTCTGACCACGGCATTGAATTTAGCGTAGGATTTTGCATTAGAAACGTTGGTCAACCACTAAAGTTCACACTTTTTATGTTGTTTTGTAAACTAGTGTTATCAGTTCGAAAATCATCTCAGTTTGAAAATACCCAAACTGCTCAACATCTCCGTCATGAAGTTTGATTAACTCCTAGGGTTAAAACCCATAGTTGTGGTACGTTGAAAGCGTTAGGTTCCTATAGCTGTTGATGGGAGCGTTTACCCTATATTAAACAAAATAATCAAACCAAACATTTAGCAACATTTTCAATATTAAAAAGATATGAGCTTGTGCTCAATATAAACCACCATGGCCCACTTAGGCTGTGAACAATTTGCCAAGATAAATTTAACTCGTGGTTAAAAGTGACATTTCGAAAGTTATTCTCTATGTTCAAAAATCCCTGTGTTGTCGATCGACCGGTCATTACTATATTTATTTTACAAAGGTATTTCCATTTCTTCAAAGCTTCCACTTTTTGTAAATTTTCTCAAACAGTTTTGCAACTACATAGGGTAAATGGCTCTAATGTTGGTCTATGGATCTACGATTGGGCCCATCGCTAAAAATCTGCTTTTTATAAATTTTATCTAGATGAACGCGTCATTGGGACGATACTAATGGATATTTTTGGTCGCAATTGATAATTTAGTCGATTGTTGAATTTATGTATGGGCCCAAATTAGGGGCATTTAGACCGATTACATCCATTTCCCCTATCTGTGTTCGGACATGATATTTTATATTTTTTTTTTAATTGTGTGAACCCTTTTTTTCAATGATTATATCCACGGTTTTTTGTTCATCCTGAAAAGGTATCACCGGAAACGTGCGTATCGATGACAACGGAGATCGTGATGCCGATTATTCTATTCTTGACTTGGACCCCATTACCGGTCGTTTCGAGGTGGTAGCCCATTATTACGGCCGCAATAGGTAAAAAGCTTTTAAAGGACTCCTACCAACTACCCATCATTATCGCTGCTTTCATTATCACCAACAGGGCCTACTCTCCCGTCAAAGGCAAGCGGATCCACTGGCCGGGAGGACGGGAAGGTCCCCCACCGGATGTTCCCAAGTGTGGTTTTCTGGGAACTTCACCATCGTGCCAGGGAAACGGTAATGAAACTAATTCCATTGACTTATTTGCCCTATCAGAAGCAAACATCATCGAGGTTACATACACTTCTATTTGATTCTATTCGCAGAAATGATTCTCATTTACGGGTTGATCGGATTCGGAATCATTTCCGCGTTCGGTGCCGCCGTCACGTACATTCTTTGCAAGTAAGAAATGATAATAAAGATGCCTGAAAGTTTTTGGGGTGGAGGGGTTTCCGTGTAAGCCGCAAATTCCTCACGTTCCTAGCACGTGCCATAGTCGTCGTCGTCGTCGTCGTCGTTGTCGTTATCGTCGTTCGTCTGCTCAATGACTTTCACCCTTTCACTTTCTTCCGTACTCATGCAAAACCGGACGGTGACAGGCAGATGAAGTTGAATAATGAACTGAACAACATGTCCTGGCGGGTGCGGCCGGACGAGGTACTGCTGGAAATTGGACGTCTTTTCGGCAGCAAGATGGGACTGCAGAAGCTGAACTATGAAGTATGTCAAGATGGCAAGGTTGGAGTTGAGGGTAAAGTTTGTTGGTTGCTTTTGGGCTTATTGCATCTCGAATGAGATGTGTGATGAAAGTAGTGTGGATATTAAAGTCTTCGAGTAAGAAACAAATAGAAAATACCATCAAAGTCATGAAAACTTAAGGTAATCATCATCTGTATTTGGAACCCAAGTTTAGGCCCATAGAATTTGTTGTATCCTGTCAGTCAGCAAGATAGGAATATTGAATCCATTGTATTAACATTCAATGTTAGATAAAGTTGTCATCACATCAAAGATTTTCACCATGAACCACTTACCATGCTTAACATTCCAATAAACCATAACGTCCAATACCTAACAAACAGCAATTGATTGAATTTTCCAGAACTTCTCCCTCCAACAATTCGGCAGTTCGGGACGGGCTTCCATCGCCAGCGGTCACTCCCAGCTCCCGGCGCAACTGTTTACCACCATCGGAATCTACAAAGGAGAGCGAGTTGCCATCAAAAAGGTCACCAAGAAGAAAGTTTACATCACTTCCACTCTGCTGTGGGAAATCAAACAAGCGCGGGACGTAAGCCATGAAAACACAGTCCGCTTCGTGGGAGCATGCATCGATCTGCCGCGGCCAACGATCCTAATACTAACCGAATACTGCCCCAAGGGTAGTCTCAAAGATGTGCTGGAAAATGAAGCCATTCAGCTGGACTGGAACTTTCGGATGTCACTGATTCACGATGTCGTTAAGGGAATGGCCTATCTTCACAACAGTGACGTTGGGGTTCATGGGAAGCTTCGGTCATGCAATTGTCTGATCGATGGCAGATTTGTGCTGAAGATCTCTGATTTTGGATTGCGTACGCTGACTACTCCGTCGGAATTTGTGCGAGATCAGAACTATTTTAACAGTAATTTAATTTCACTAGATATAATCTAATCAATTGATAAGAATCGATCCTTTTAGAATTGCTCTGGGTGGCACCTGAATTGCTTCCGACTACCGTGATTCCTGGAACTCCGGCTTCGCAGAAGGGAGACGTTTACTCGTTTGCCATAATCCTCGAGGAGATCGTGGTTCGAGGCGGGCCCTACGAAACGGCTAGACAGTTTATGGATCCACAACAGATCGCAGATCGGGTAGCAGCACACGAAAGTCCCCCTTTCAGACCGTTTGTGGGCCAACGGGATTGTCCTCCGGACTTGTTGGATTTGATGGAAAAGTGCTGGTCGGACAGCCCTGACGATCGGCCCAGTTTCATTCAAATCAAGAGCACTGTTAAACTAATCATGAAGTACATTACAGCATTGTCTCGGTTTATACTGCATGTACGTATTAATATTCACCTCATTCTAGGGGATTCTGCGAGAACCTGATGGACGACCTGCTGCGTCGTATGGAACAATATGCCAACAACTTGGAGAGTTTAGTCGAAGAGAAAACCGAACAGCTGAGCATGGAAAAACGACGCACTGAAGAACTTTTGTATCAGGTACTGCCACGACCGGTAGCTCAGCAGCTTCTAGCCGGGGAAATGGTTCAACCGGAGCAGTTCGAATGTGTCACAATCTACTTCAGTGACATTGTGGGCTTCACGGCGCTCTGTGCGCAAAGTCGTCCAATGGAAGTGGTCGATTTCCTGAACGATCTTTATAGCACTTTTGATAGGATAATTGAATTTTATGACGTGTACAAGGTGGAAACCATCGGAGATGCCTATATGGTGGTTTCTGGGCTGCCGGAACGAAATGGCCACGATCACGCCCGGGAAATTGGTCTGATGTCATTGGCCGTTTTGGATGCTGTGAAATCCTTCACTATCAAGCACAAACCGGAACAGCAACTAAAGATTCGAATTGGAATCCACTCGGGGCCGGTTTGTGCCGGTGTGGTTGGACAGAAAATGCCACACTACTGCTTGTTTGGCGATACGGTCAATACGGCTTCGAGGATGGAATCCACCGGACATCGTAAGGGTCTTAGGAGGGTAAAAGGTAGTGATTTCACTAAAGCTTTGTTTGATTGCAGCTTTAAAGATTCACGTGTCAGAGGCAGCCAAACAAATTCTGGACAAATTTGGAACATTTCGTCTGGAGCTGCGAGGTGAGGTTGAACTGAAGGGTAAAGGAATCGTTACGACCTACTGGTTGTTGGAGTGCTCGGAACCTGATCCAAGGTAAGCTAGAGAAAACCTTCTATTGACGAAGCAATAATGGCTATTGATGGATTTATTTTTAGACCACCAACACCGATGAAAAACTACATCGACAATGATGTTCCATTTCCGATACTGTTTCCAGCGGTTGGGAAATAGGTGCAGAAAATTAACTATTATGATAGAACAAAAACCTAGTCATGGTGTCTTATATGATCAAACAGAAACACATATATTCATATTCATATTCACATTTCAATGTCACATTATGAGGCTTCTCGACAGCTACCGCATTTAATGTCAATTCTTAATTCAAACTGGTAGGTCTAATGGATGATTACATTCCATACAAATCAAGGGAACGGTATTTTTGTGTAGTCGACTATCGAAAACTGAAGTGATAACAAATAAATGGACTGAATGTAGAATGATGATTTATAATATACTGAGAAATCCATTCACCTGTTATTTTTTGCGAAAGTGCTATTTTTTAAGCAACCACGTGCCCATTATTTAAATCGAGTCAATCATCATACTTCTGTAATACCACAATACACTAGTGATCAGAAGTGACGCTCAACTCGACTTACATGAAATGATTCTCATGACCCTATGTTTCAGTTCATCACTGCAATTTTGAGCATTTATTCGGCGAGAACTACACATTTAGAAAAATTGATGTAAATTTAGGTGCTCTGAGAGTGACATATACGAGCGTCAATTCTGACATAAAATTGAGTCATAATAGACGTTCAGAAGAAATTCAGCTCAATCAAACGTACTTTCGAACTTTTCAGTCTCGGAGCACACCATTACTTTGCAACATAATAAACATGTTTGATGATTCTGAACAATGACATACTAAAACTTTGTAACAAGTACGCTTTTCCATTTATTTATTTAGTTGCACAGAATTCCTAAGTATACAATTTTACACATTTAAGTATTGTAAATAGTTGGTTACAGTCCGTGGATTTTCGTTTGTATGAGTTGTTGTTGTTTGGAAAATTCACGTTTTGTTAAACCTAAAACAGTAGACACACACAATAGCGAGAGGGTTTGTGCCGCTGCAAAGAACAAGAACGCTACTGAAGGGAAAAAACTATTCTACAACATCTCGCTTCTCACACAAAAATGGTTGTGCGAAAAGGGGGAGAATGATAATTATTGGATATATTGGAGAGGCCATCTTTCAGTGGAAGATTGACCACAAACAAACAGGCGTCCGTGTGCAAAAGGCTGGTATTTTTAAGTGCAGTGCCATTTAGTGTAAACTCTTGTGGGGTTTCTGAACTGTTGGACTGCCTCCGTTCAGGTAAATAGGCTTAAATTATTGTTATCAGCCAACCTGACGGAAATATTATTCTACAATCAGGACCTCGTACCGTAAATAAAACGGTCTCACACGGCTCGGCTCGGAAGTCAATATGGCTTCCAAGCCTAATAGTAAATGATCCTCGATCGTCCGTCAGGGACGATTCCCTCAGGCCGGTGGCCTTAATTACCATAGAGGGTCCCGTCTCGGCTCGACCAAGGAGGCCATGCCACGGTCAGCCGCCACATATATGTGAAAACCCACACCCACACGCCACAGAATAGGGTAATAAATGGGTCATTCCGCGCCAAGTGGTCACAAAAAATTGCAAAAGTGAAATTGACCTTTTCCGATTTTGACCAAATTTGGAGGGAATGTTCATTTAAGTTCGAATTCTAAAATTCCAAAGTTGTATGCTGATCGTAGCACCCCTCGATCAAGGGGCACATTTTTCATTTTTCATTATTTTTTAGAAACCACTACTTTCTTTTGTTCATATCTCCGGAACAAATAAAGCTACAAATTGCATTAGGTATTGTTTTAATAAGGAAATTAGACAAATAATGTAAATCTGTAACTTTTGTTTCTGTACAGTGTTGCCAAATATTTTTTATTTTTGTTTGAAAACTTTAAATGCATTTTTCTCATAATACATGTCGTTTAATTTTCATTTTAAGGACACCATCGTGTTCTTCGTCCTTTTTTACATAAGAAACACTTAACGACAAAAAGTAATTTGCGTAGTTCCTGAGATATTGCATTTTGAATGAACGAAAGTCATAAATTATGAGGGTTATTTTTATAACGTTTCCTCGTAATAAGATTCATTCTCATGACTTACTTTGTTAAATAATACTTGATGGAAACAAAATAGGTATGATAAAACCAACAATAGTTTTTATGCAGTGTTGACAAATTTAAATATTATTTAGTGGCTGAAAACTTTACACTAGTAATAATCTAAACGAATTGCATTATAAATTAAGACATTCCAATAAAATGTTGTATCGAACACTGATCGATTTGTTTCTTACATTTTATTATAACAATGTAAAACATAAATTACAATTTACTTATTTTTTTTTTCTCAAGGTTAGCACTTCGTGATGATTTCTTCCCATTATTATTCGAATCCACTTGCTTTGCACGTTTCGTTGCCACAACTCTAAAAGCTGAACCAGTTGTGGCACCTGAAACAGTTTTCATAATAATGGTATCAATACCAGAAGGAGCTGCTGCATTTATTTAACGAATACTGGGAATAGATGCAGCTGATGCAAAACGGTGGAACAGTATTTGTTTTTCTTCGGAACAGATCTCAGATGACACAAATCTAACGTTTGTATTGCAATTCTTCATTGCCCAGTCATAGAGCTCCTTTGGCGTGTGAATAGTGGCTCCTTGTAAACTAGCTCGCGTTTCCAATCTCTTCAAACTTCATCCCAATCCGTCGCTTGGTCCTTTGCCATGTGCCGTAACAAAGTAGTGCCACTGAGTGGGCACCCCAAATTTGCTTTCGTGGAAAACCAGGGTACCGCACCATCGGAGAAGTACGAGATTTTGGACAACTGTGATACCTAGGATTTGAGATACTATTTGAAATGGCGCTGGAAAGCATGAAATGTTGTTGTGCTGTGGTCTAGAGTATCGGACATTATGACGCAGTTCAATGGTACAACTTTATTCTGGTGTACAGTGTAGGCATCAAAAGTGTGAACGGTTGCCAGCAAATTATTACAATGAATTCCCTGTACACTTTAAAAAACAAAAGAATAGTTTTCAGAGAAATCTGCCACTACAACGACTTCACCTTCACGTAAGCTATGACAAGTGAATTTGAAAAACTCGGATTGTTTCGCTACAATATAGACGTGCTTTCGTACGGCTGGGATTGAAATGAATAATTCAAGATGAATTTTACCTGCAGATGGCTGGTCATTATCCATGTTTTTTTTTAACCGCCAGATGACATTGCACGCATACTTTCCGACCTTCGATAATTTTTGGCAAAGTTCTTATTGTACTCGTCATGAAACCGTGCAGAAATTGGTTTCAAACTCTTGCGACGAATAACTGTATGCAGATTCAATGGGTTGCAGCACTGTCGTTGCATTGTCGCATACAGGTCTCCATATTGCTTAGCATGGCCATCACAAACACTTTTCAGTTCCGTAACACCAGGACGAAGATTGTTCCACTGTTCGGGACCTAACACCACTGCGACCAGTAATTTGATCTATTGTAGTATTTCCCATGTCCTTAGTTTAGTGCATGTCGCATTACTCCGTCACTATTGAGAAATTATGAAGTATTTGATTTTTTTTTACAGTTGTCATTCTTGCATTTATCTCAAGGATCCGACTCTAATTGAAAGGTCCCGCTATTTATACCCTTCGGAGTGTTGAAACACCCTCCGGAGTGTTGAAACACCCTCCAAAGGCACGCCCCTTTGTGAGTCAAAATTGGATTCCTTAGCAACAAAATTAAGGAATGACACCGATATTGACCATGCATCAGAACCCTAGTCTTAAGCACTTCAAATTATGGAACAACGAATATAAGATTAGGAATCACATAGATGAAGACTAATTAACCCCCTTTTTCCTTGTTTTTCAAGATAATCCTCGGTGGACAAAGTCGAGTCTTATCACTATCAACAAGGCATAAAAAGTAACAAGGACTAAGATGTGTTCCTTTGATTACTGAAAAATCCTGTTCCCCTAGTTTGAAGTAGTCAGGACTAGGAATCGGTGGTAGATCTTACATCCCTTATCGTACCACGAAAAGGTGATCCACCCACGTTACGGGGGGTAATTGTGTTTCTTGTGTGTTTTAGGGTGTCGGAAGGTGTTTCTGCATGTCGACCTAGCTGTCAAAACGTTTATTGAAAATTAATGCTTACTGGCTAGCATTACATCCACTTTTGTTTATAATCAGAATTCTTTTTTTTTTGCTCTCCAAAAATTTACCAATTTAATCATGCACAGTGAAAGCACGGAATTTAAGAAATAATGCACACGTCTATGCAAGCAACTTACAGGAATTCAAATTCGCATCCCTGATCGTCATCCGCAACACCTATCTAAAAGAATGTGCTGTGTATGTATGTCTGGAGTTCCACTCCGATCTCAAAAAGTACTCCCTCAGCCGTCGCATTCTTATGTCATGATGCTTGACATCCTGGCTCAAACCAGTAAAGTCTTCTCGAATCCATCCCAATCGAATTCCAGTCGCAATCAAGCCCAGATAACCAAACCGAGCACGCCCCTTGCTAAGCAATCTCTGGATCTAAATTTCGCAAAAAAAAACGAACCTATTTGCAAGTGGCAGTTAGTAGGATGGATCTCTCTGATTTGGTATTGTGTATATGAAATCCACGATGAAAGGGCATCAAACACATTAGAAAGAATTATCTGTCTTCAGCTATCGATCAATAATTGATATGATAATTATTATCCGCTTCATTAATATACAATTACAGATATTCTAGCTCGTTAGAGGTTGAAATTGTCTGTTTTTCAATGTTGAGCTTGATATTGAATCTTCTTTTCTAATTGCGGGGGTGAGGGCTACTTCGGTGTCCCGATCAGTTTTTTTTGTGGTATCCTACCGATTTCTGGAGGTCCCTCCTAAAGAAAAAAAAATCAACAAAAACGAAAAAGGGCATCAAATGAAAGGCAGTGCTGCCAGAAAAGATTGAAAAATTGGTTCTCATGGTGGTTGAAGGGTGTTTGAGTGTGTTGAAGAGTGTTTTTGATGTGTTTAACACAAGGTGGCAAAGTGGCTTATCCCCTGAATAGAACACACCATTTTCCACTCGGTATCTGCAAACTTCTAATGTACTAGACAGATGCGCCAGAGATGCTTAAAACATTAACGCCTAATATATGAAAAAAAGAAAATGTCATATTTTATACGCTAATAGATGACATCTTCAAAGACATCTATTTGATCTCGAAATTCTGGATCGTATGCAAAACATGAGCAAATTACAGTTTTGTCCTATATTTCACATTTTTG